CTTGAATATACAAGCCATTGATCTGATCCATTAAATCAAGACTTTGTTTTTAATTTTTGGAATGTATTTTAAAAAGAGGTGAATTAAGACTTATAGAAAATAACAATGGAGTTTTAGCTAGAGCAGCCATGCAGTTTACTGTTAGGAAATTCAAATAACAATTGTTATTACATATGTGCCTGCTAACGTGGGTTGGGTCGCTAGGGTAGTAAGGAATATCTGGTGTTTTATTTGAAAAAAAAAAAAAAAATCAGAAGTGAATTCTGACTGAAAAGCTTTTTCCTGTGTGGTAGACAACTAAAAAATTTGATTCTTAACTTCTGGGGTGTTTACTTAGAAAGACAAGTCTTTCTTAACACTGTGTTGGACTTCATTTATGCCAGTTAATGTTACTTGCAGCATGACTAAGAATGTGGAAGCCAAACTGATACAGCAGACTTGAAATCCAAATTTGAAAAGAAACAGATGGTTGCTTATGTTCACTGCTGTGGCAAGCTAATAAAAAAAACCCGTCAGCATTCAAAATAGCTTTATTTAAACAACTAAAATTAAATTAAAAAGCTACTGAAGTCCAGACTATCTTGTCACTATGTACAGAGCTTTTACAGCCCATAGGAGGTGTGTGGGCTGGTTCTTGCCACACAGTTGCTTTAGAAATGGTACTGACTGACACTTCCAGGTTCCTGAAGACCTTCAAGAGGTAATAACACTTGCCCACCAAAAGCCTTGTCATAAATTCTTTTTAAGAAATTCTGTGGGTTTTTTTCCTCTGAGACCTGTTGTGTAGCTACTGCTTTTAGCTTGTGTTTCAATTCCAACTTTATACTAGTGCTGTGGGAATCACTGACTCTTTCTCCCCACTAGACCTTGATATCGGCTAATATGAAGACAGTCTGTTAAAATAGCTCGCAGTGAAATCAAATGGGAATTGGTATGCTTTTATTTACAGCTTCATTAAAAATAATTCTGGTAAAGAAAACATTTGAGTGAGTTGTTTCCAGGTTAAGGTGGCTTTAAGCATATGTTGTAGATGAGTAGAAAGCGTTGTGGAAGGTTCCACTAATAAATACATTCTTCTAAGAGGAAAAGTAAACTACTTTTAATATGGGGGGGGATCTACCCTATGATTTCCAGTTATATAGTACTGAATAACAAGAAGAATTTTTGTACTTAAAGTAAAAATGCATTAGTAAACCAGATGAATTAATTTTTGACTGTATTGTGTCCTTATTGCAAACAAATTATTAACAATATTGTTCCTGCAGCTTACCTGGGAATGTGATTAATGTTCAGTATTACCTATTCTAGTGTGTTTTGGCAATATGAAAACCTGAATGTTAAACAAGAACACAATTTCAAATTAAAGTAATAAATTGGAGTTACTGAAGTAAGGCCTGCAGTATGCCACACTCCTCGACGGGCACTGAGAGTGCGGTATTTTGTCCCACATGCTTTTGGCCGCAAAAGCCTCTTTATCAGCTACTGTCTTTCCAGTCACGCTTGTGTTCATGTCTTTGCTACATGCTCTGCTGATTACCTTGGAAAAGGGCAATGCTGTAACTGTTCAACTGACCTTTCAGTTTATTTTCTCTTGTGTAATATGAAACATGAGCTAACACAGTCTTAGTCTGCCGATTTCGAGAAAAGAAATCTGTCTCTACACTTCTGCAGCTTTCTGCTCAAATATGATGGAGTTTCTCTGTAGTAATGTTAATTCAAAAAGAACTCCATCAACTTGCTTTGGATATCATTGCAACAGAGAAGCAAATTACTGTAGCTAAAAGAGGGGTTTTAGTGTACAGTTCGTGTTTAATTAAGACTACTTAGCTGAGGGATAGTGAGACAATTACTATTAAATAAAGAAATATCGTACCTAAAGTGTTTATCTGATTAATGTTCAGATGTGTAAAACAAAATTAGTATGCTACTGCTAAATTTGTTGCCTTGTATACAAAGAAACATGTAGAACTCCCATTGTTTTGTAATTGCTGTCATCTTTAGACTGTTCCCTCATGACTAGGAAGCTGTCTTCTGTACTTTAGCAGGTACAGAATAAACATAGTTGTGCTGTTCTGGGAAGCTGTAACACAGCTTAGTATCCTAAGGTTTTTTGGGGTGCATGCATTTTTTGGGGGTATTTTTTAGTTTCAACCCCCCTCCCCCCCACTATATACCTCTTATCTCAATAGAGGGTAAAAGATAAAATGGCTTTCTTGTAGCAAGTGTTAATACTTATGTATACACTTAATCTTTCTTCTCTCTTGCTTGAATTGATGTCTCTAAGTAGTTTGCTAGGCTTCTGATGGAAAGAAATTGCCTCTTGCTCCTTGTAAACACTAGTAATTTGTTACACTTATCCTGTGAGGTGCATCCATGTGTTTCTAATAAACTGAAGGGGGTGACAGATAAACAAACATATGTGGGTAGGAGAGCCTCTAAATATTGTGGGGAAGGGTGTTCTTAGAAATGAGATTGGTTTAGATAACTCAGTGGAGCAATTATTACTAAATGATTGCATTAAGTTTACATTTGATACATCTTGTAATCATTCCTGCATTTGGTTCCGAATTGAGCACTGTGTATGTTCATTATGAAGCTGATGGCAAAAACATTACAGCTGTCAAATGCTGGTGAAGCCACTAAGTTATCCTAATGTTTAAAGCAGGAAAGAGGCTTGTTTCTAGTCCCCTGTAGTGTGCTGAAAATACAGTGCCAGAACTGAAGTCAGCAAATAATCTTCTTGCTAAAATACTACTGAAACATGTTTATCTTTACTAGACTTTGTAGCTTATAGGTCTTTATATCTCTGTTAGAAATAGCAGCTGCTGGTAGGATGTCAAGAAAAACTGTAGTTTCCCTTTATTTTCTGCCAGTTTTTGTTCTGTCGTGCTTCTATGTGCTCTTATGTACTACACTGTATGTTGTTGTGAGGGCTTGACTTGAATATTACTGCACTTGAAATTATTTTGAAAAAAGTTGATGCTGAATCAATCACTTGTCCTGTATGAATAACTTTCAACAGAGCAAGTGATTACTCATTATCCCCAAGCAAATATTTCTTAATTTTTAAGTTACTGCATTTAGTTTGAGACAAGATGTGTTACTTCTCCATGCCGAAGTCGTGGAACATCAGAAGGGACTTGAGAGTTTACATCTGTTTCACCATGGAAAGTGCCCAGAAATTTTAAGTAACTACTGAAGTACAGTGTTGTGGGTGCTATTGCGTTTCTTTTTCTAAACTGCTTCTGCTTCCAGTGTAGCTTCTGATATTACAGATATATTCTAGTTGAAAAGCAGTTGTAAGGACACTCAAATTAATGCATTTACTTGAAGGAGCTTTTTGGATAAAGCTGTTGAAAAAGCCACTGTGTTCACAGGGTTCAGCAATAGCAGACACTACTGAATCTCTTGCCCTCACTGTTCATTTAGATAAATTTTAAAGAAATCTCCTGGGGAGACCAGAAGAGCACAGAGCAGAGCTGTCCCGTCTGTTGGAAACAAAGAAATGAAAAATTGCATGTTAGCATTCATTATCTGCAGAGTACAGAAAAATCAGAAAAGTTGCTGTTTAAATTTTTGCCTTTCTTGCTCTGCTTGCCTTTCACCTCTGCTGGGTGTTCTCTTTAGTAACTGGTAATAAAGCACTACTTTAGTAGGAATCATAACAGAAATGGTTTAGGTTCCTTATTGGAATAACTGTATCCCCAAATTATTTGGATAACAGTTAATTTTATTATACATGAAAGGAACTTAATATCCTTGGACAACCTGCAGAATCCTTAGTTTTCAGCTGAAAATGTGTGTTAAATTCTCTCTGATGTGGGAGAGAGGTGAAGTACTTGTATAGGGAATAATTTTAATAGAGCAGCTGGAACCTCTGGGAAATTCAGATTTAGCCACGCACAGACTTTTTGGGATCATGATTTCAGAAATATGTAACACCTTTACTTTCAGCTTGCAAAAAAGCAAAATTAAATTATCGTCTTTCTGGATCTCTGTAAACATCAGCCATTGCTATCCTGTACTTCTGGAGCATCTCTCTCAGAATTCTTCTAATATTTCAAAGGTTACATGTATCCAGGTGTTGCTTAATTTATTTAAATGTATATTAAAAAGATTACTTGAATGGGGCAGGACTTTTCTATGCAGACAGTGTAAGTCAATCTAAAAACTATAAAATTTATAAAAGTTAAAATACAATAAATCTGGTGTTCTGAAGTAGTTGTACCTACCCGAGTTTTACTGTGCCTTTACTTACTATTTTCTGTAAGTGTGATTACTTTGTGTAATACTCTGAATAGTCAAATGAAAAGTGACTAAAGGGAGGTGGAGAAAAGAATGAAATAAAATCCAAGGCTTCTGTTCTCATATGCTGTCACTAGTGACAAATGAAGTTGAAGAAGTAACTGCAAACAGGAATTTGCTTCTGCTGCATAATTCTCTAGTTCAACATGGTCTGATGCATTTGATTTGTTGGACTGCAGGAATTTGCTTTAGGAAGAACTTGATCCATCCTACTCCTATGTTCCTTCAATCCATCCCCTTATAATCAGCTGAATGAGAGCAGTTTGAGGGAATAACTGACTATAGAGTAAAGATGATGAGTATCGGGACTTGCTAATCTGAGCAGGGATTCTGCACTGGCTTTGGTGTCAGTGAAAGTGTTTGTAACTGCATCTTCAAAGTGATAGCAGCAATATTAGAAAAAGTGATTTGAATGACCCCTTGCTCTCTATTTTGAAATACTCAGTGGTGTTGCATCTGCATTTTCAATTTCTATTTTCATCTTT